CCGTACCATTCTGCAGCTCCGTAATGACTGAGTGGTGCACGTCCTCCTTCTGCTCGCCCAGGAACTGAGCGCAGACGGAGTTGAGCGTATAGGAACGGAGCTTGTGTTCGCGTTGCATGTACTGGAGAAGATCGAGCTGGATGCGGCCTTCCATGTTCGTCTCCTTCGAGTCGCGCTGGCCGAAGGCTTTGGACGAGAAGTGCGTGTCCTTGATAGCCGTTTTCATGCCTGGTAGGGACAGTCAGTACACGTACGACAAGCAGACCAGACCTTCAAGAGCATTACCTTTGATGCGTGTCAGGAACGGGAACTCGCTGGCCTTGAGCGCATGGGCGCGATCCAGCAGATATGGCAAATCGAAGTTTGCAATGTTGTACCCGATGACGACGTCCGGGTCAACCTCCGCCACGAAGTCTCGCCACTTCTGCAGCATGTCGACCTCATCGTCGAACGAGAGCACCTGTGAGCCGACGATATGCGAGCAAGTATTCAACGTGAAGACGTTGCGGATGAATGGCCTGTCCTCGCCTGCAGCATCTGTCAGCACCCAAGCAAGTCAGATCAAGCGCGTAGAGCCTACCCTGGCGAGTAACCATGTTCGCAATCTGGATGACCGGGTCCTCCTTCGCCTCTGGGAAGATACCCTTCCTACCCGCGCACTCAATATCGAAGCTCAATATACGGAGCGGTGCCGTCTTCGACCATTGCCCATCAGGAGCATGCGCGATGAAGTTGTCCCATTGCACGCGCATCTCGATTTGACACAAGGATATCTTGTCCTTGCCCGCAAGCAGCTGGTACTTCCCAGCAGGGACCTCGATCCAGTTCATTCCGACGACCTGGTGATGCGCATCATGAGCAATCAATAGGTCTGAAGATGATGGTCGGCTACATACCTTCGTGTCGATCATAAAACGGAGCGTATAGGCGATGTTGCTCTCGAAGGTGGCCACCTGGTCGGGAAAAAGGTCGCGGAAGCTGACTTCACCCCTCTCGAACAACCGTGCACGGAGTATCAGCATACACACGCACGATGAAGAACTCAAGAAGACTCATCTCGTACGCGCGGCAGCATCTTCTGCTCAGCAATGGTGATCTTCATGAAAAGCGCCTTCTCGTCACCGCGGTATCCCCACAGACTCTTCTTCTTGACGAATTCGATACGAACGACGCCACCTTGTGCATTCTGCCACGCAAGGGTGAGTAACGATAGTCACAAGAAGATCACGTGGGCATACGTTGAGGTAGGTCTTAAAAGGCTCAATGTCGCTATTGTCAAATCCGCGGGGTACAGGGACGTAGAAGTACGGCTGGAAACCGAGCACGTGCATCATGACGCTGTGGCCACCCTAGACGCCAGTCATGTCAACGTCTGGTTACATCAACCACAGTACAACCATATCGCACCTCCGTGACACCGTACATCCTGAGATTGATCCCGCCGCGCTGAGCGTCGACCGCCTCTTCGATATCAATCTGCTGAAATGCTAGGACAGATTCAGATTCAAGCCGATGTAGTGAAATAAGTGAGGCGCGCACTGATAGAATCCCGGTCCTCGTTGATGGGTGCGAGTTCGGGTCGTCCCCAGCTATTAGCGCCACCCTCATCACCTAAAGTATCTGTCAGAGTATTTCCACCCAATAGTAGCATACTACGCACTGGCAGCTCCCTCCGACTCGGTGTTCAGTTTCTCAAGAACATCCGCAAAAGACGGCTGAGAACCAAGGCCTTGTTGCGCCTTCTGTGACGCTTGAGACCCTTGTGGTGTGGTATCAAGTTTTCTCCTCTTAGCGGCACGTTCTGAAGAGTCGCTATTGGGATTTCATATTCGTAAGCATCTGTCTGCGCGTCATTTGATATCTTCTGACCTAGGTCGTTGGATATTCTCCTTGGTAGTTGCCTTTGGACCGGCCATGATTGCAGATACGTTTATCCAATGCAGGAGATGCGTAAATTTGTGAAAGATGGCAGGTAGGCTGAAGCCGGTGGTGGTGGTGGCTGGCAGAGTCAACTGTGAGACGGCTGCGAGCCTTCGCGCGCGTAGCGCCCAACCACGCGACCAATTCAACGCGTGAGGTCACGCTCAACCATACGTGACGTTCGGGCACGCTTCGGCAATAGAGTTCGACAGCCAAGTCAAGCGTTCTACAGCGTTATGCTACGACATTATACTAGTACGGCTGCACAGATACATCTCATTCAATATATATACAAGCTAAGTCCGTCTACTTTCCGCTCATGGCCTTCATCCTCGCCTCAACAGCCCTCGCCCTTCGTTCCCTCTCAACCTTCAACCTCATCTCCGGCGTCAACCCCGTCAACCCCGCCTCACCACCACTCGCGCCACCCAGCTTCCTCGGCCCTCTCCCACTATCCCCCACAGGTTCCGACTTCGGCGGCTCAGGTACAGGCTCAGGCTCGGGTGTCTTCTGAGCCTCACGCTCGCGAAGCTTATCCCGCAACCCTTTACGCCTGGCCTTCTGCTTCGCCTCTTTCTCGTCCTCCTTCGCCTGATTAAACGCACTCGGTACATGACCCGCACCAAGCCAGTCCCACCGTTCTGGGTCTTTCCCAGCTGCACGTCTGAACGCGTCCCGGACCTCCTTCGTATTCGCCTCGTCGTAGGCTGTTCTCAACTTCCCCACGGGTGCCGCCGCATCATCACCGGCCGGTTTCTGTGGGCTGACGACAGGCACAGTTGGATCTGCGCCCGCCTCCTCGAGCAGCCAAGAGACAATCTCGACCTGTCCTTCCCTGGTCGCGAACGCCAGTAACGTCCTTCCATTCTCCTTCTCGTCCCCACTCACAATCCTCGCATCAGGCCCACCAAGCCCAGCACCTTCCTTCTCCCAGAACCCCTTCAGCGCATCCAGTTTGCCGCGCTCAATCATGTCCACAGCTCTAGCCCACTTCGCGCGCAACGCCTCCTCTTCAGGGCTGAGCTTGGGCACCTTGACCTTCTCTTTCTCCTTCGCTGGAGCCGGTGCGGCCGGTGCGGGTTTGGGTTTGGGGAGGGATGCAAGGTATGCTTCGTCTTGGGCTCGAAGAGCGTCTTCTGTCAAGTGGGAGATCTTGACGCGAGTGAGTTCGAGGAGGCAGCGGGCGAGTTCGGCTTGTGTTGGACGACGGGTTGGGAAGGGGAATGTGCGCAAACGGCTGTCAGCTGTATAGAGGATTAGTACTACGCCCAAACTTTTCGATTGGAATAATCAGACACGTACTCTTGGAGAGCACGGAGCCGTCGTAGTCGAGGAATATGCGCCGGTTTGAGACGCTTGCGCGGATGAACACGCGCTCGCACTGCGCGATCTCATCGGCCCACTCTGTGAGCAAACCACGGATATCCTGTATACTGTATCAGTACACGCAGGAGAATGATACGCGAGGTAATGAGACTTACATCGCGAAGAGCTTGCTCTCCATATCTCCTCAACATCGCACCAGCCGAAATCGCCTTCTTCCCCGCCGCATCATTAAGTCCCTGACTACCACCCTGCTTCCTCCTCGTCGTGTACCGATGGAAAGTCTTATGTAGCAACATCTCCGTCTCCGGTTTCGGCCTCTTCTGCTTATTCTTCTTTCTCCTTGTCTCCTCCTCCTCTTCCTCCTCGTCGCCATTGCTCACGCGCACGATAGCACCGGCAAAATGACCTCCCGCAGTCATGAACATCGCCCATTTCCTCTCCACGGGCGTTTGGAGAGCTTTGAGCTCGTCGAGGTATGATTGGGGTGTGCTGTCGGGTGGAAAGAGAACGCGGTAAACGCCGAGCTGTGTGGGCGGAGGGCCGGGTGTGTGAAACCAGGCTAGAGGGCTCTGTTGTGTCCGCGGCGTATCGTCTTCGTCTTCGGAACGTGCGCGTTCGCGAGAGATCTTGGTCTTTTGGAGTAGATCGCGAACAGCGTCGCTGTCGGAGTCCGAGGAGTGGGTGTCTGAGGAAGCCGAGCCGGAGAGCGAGTCTTCCAATCCTATCTTGGCAGTCAGAGGTTGCGTCCGAACTGAGAGATACTCCGCTGCGTACCGTCCACAAGTTTGCCGAAATCTGCTTCGGATACTGTTGTTCCGCCTTGCAATCGTAGTTTGACGTTATATCTGTGCCAATCGGCCCGATAGTGCGCGCGTTGCTCGTTCACGTCTGTGAACGCTGCTCCGGGACAGACGTTGCAAGCTCGAGTTCGCTGCTCCGATGTCTCCTCCGGTATAGAGCCTAGCTCTGGCTCTTGCGTATCGTTCGTTGTAGGTTGAGCTCCAAGTACGCGTGGGACGAGAGTAGCAAGAAGTTCAGCTGGGAGCGAATAGGCATGGAGATGCGTAGGTGGCGCCATGGCGTGTTTGAGCAAGTGGACTAAAAGTTACACGGTTTCTGATGAGCCCAGCGAGGTTTATGATACACTTGTGCGAGTCAAAGAACAGCCCACGATCCACACCGCTGCCGAACGAGAGGAGAAAGGCTCTAGTATACAACCCGAGTCAAGATGATGAAAGCTTATGCCAAGTTAGAAAGACGCCCGACAAACGCCCGAGGGCGAATTTGGCGCCGAAGATCTAATCTCGAACGCAGATCTAACGACTGCCATCAGTGCCACGACGGGTCCCGCCCAACCGTCGCCGTCTACTGCGCGCTAACGGCCTTGCCTGCAGATCGAAGGAACGTGTGCGCAACGTTTGAACACGTCTTGCATCTAACCGCCATGGTCGCCGCAGAGTTCGCTAGCCGCCCGCTCGGGAAGAAGCTTGTGTTGTTCGATGTCGACAACACGCTGTCGCTGCCGCGTCAAGTACGGTTTACTTTCTAACCTCTTGAGATTGGCAAGATGAGCTAAAGCAGACAAGTAGGCTGCGAAGCCAGAGATGGTCGAGCTCTTGAAGGAACTCCGCAAGAAGACCGTGATCGGCTTTGTTGGCGGTTCCAACCTTGTCAAAATCGCAGAGCAGCTTGACCAGCCCGGCGAGTTAGGTATGCCCGCCATCAACCTGCTCACAGTGAATACAGTACTCATAGCCTGAGCAGCAACGCAGTGGTTTGACTATGGATTTGCCGAGAACGGACTTGTTGCGTACAAGCTGGGCAAGCAGCTCGCGGCCCAGAGCTTCATTGGCTGGCTCGGCGAGGACAAGTACAAGAAGATGGTCAACTTCATCTTACATTACCTCGCGGATATAGACCTCCCGATCAAGCGGTACACCCTCGCCACTTTCCGCACGTATGACTCTCACTAATACGCGTCATACTATAGCGGTACCTTTGTCGAATTCCGCAATGGCATGATCAACGTGTCGCCCATCGGCCGTAACGCAACGTATGTCCTTCATCCCTTCACTTCTTCGTCACTCTGACCTGACCCGATCTACCACAGCATTCAAGAGCGTAACGACTTCCAAGCGTACGACAACGATCATCACATCCGCGAGGACTTCATCAAAGTCCTCAAAGAGAAGTTCCCCGACTACGGCCTGACCTACTCCATCGGCGGCCAGATCAGCTTCGACGTGTTCCCGACTGGATGGGACAAGACGTACGCGCTGAACCACGTCGAGAAGGAGGGCTTCGAGGAGATTCATTTCTTCGGTGACAAGACGTACAAGGTATGCATTACGTTGCGGATATGCGCGGTTGATGGGATGCTCATACGTTGCTACGTGCAGGGCGGCAATGACTTCGAGATCTATGCGGACCCGAGGACGATCGGGCACTCTGTCACCGATCCCTCTGACACGCTTCGCAAGCTCAAGGAGCTCTTCTTCGAGAACCAGTAGATAGATCGGATAGCGCACGGAACGCAAAAATGATGTATACTTACCCTCAATGAAGCATGGATATTTAGACTCACATCATCGGCGTATTGTTCTCGACGCTCAGTGACCCGAACACTGGCTTACTTGAACTTCTCGGTCTTCATGTATATTCCACGCTCACCCTGAGAGGATATGTTCAAAACGATTCATTGATAGAGATCCGAATCCGAGACGATGACTTCTGAAACGGGCGAGAACGTACAGTACGTATAGTACTGGCGGGATTAGAAGAAGAGCATAGGGCTTTCTTGTATGTTCCCTGGCGTAAACTAGCCGAAAACGTCCATGTCGATAGGCATAGAAAGCGACGGCGTGAGCACATAGTACCCAAGATGCCTCTCAGCCACAGTCTTCCGACTGGGTGTAGGCGGCGCAGAGCGCGTGAAGCGGAAAGTGGGCATGACCAACATCGGGTCAGCGTCGAATGGGTCGACCTCTACGGGTGCGACGATCTTGGCGCAGGCCTGAGCGAGGTCTTCGTACGGCTCGAGGCCGGTGATAGAGGTGATAGAGGTGATTGCCGGCAGTTGCACGGCGAGGATGTCGTCGAGAGACGTAGATGCAAGAACTGCGAGCGACGTCGACGAACTGTGTGAGGTTGAGATGACGAGCGATGTCGATGCTGTGTCGTCGTCCTCGGTGGAAGGTTGAGTCAGGATACTGAAGCGGAGGATATCAAGTTGTGTCTGAAGAAAAGGATAAGCAACTGAACAAAGGCGCTAGGGAAGAGTGCAAACGAACCTTGTATGTGTCACGCTCATCTTGGACTTTGGCGTAGTCAACGAGAAGCGAGCGTCCGACCTCCTTAAGGTTCAAATTCTTCCGCTTCTCCTCGACATAAGCTGTGGCACATGCGTTGGCGCGTTGGCGCTCCGCGTCGGAGGTATCGCGCTCCTCGTAGAGGGCGATGTGGCACTGAACCTCGCGCCGCTCTGCGTCGGCCGCCGTCTTACGGGCAGTCTCGAGTTGCTGATCGCGAGCGGAGAGCTGGGATGCATGCGAGTTCGCCTGCGCCTTGATACGCTGACGGTGGTCGTCCTTGAGTTCGCCGATGTAAGTCTCCAGCGAAGCGTTGATTTCGTTAGACGTCTTGAGCTCGCCCTCGAGGTTGATGTTGGCTGTGTTGAGAGCGCGAGATTTGTCGATGAGCACAGCCCGGTCCTCTTCGGAGTTGTCTTCCTGTTGTTTGAGAGCCTAGCAGATGGTATATGAGCCTAGGTCGCACATGCGGAGAGCAGCAGGAAACGTACCTTAAGTCCCCGAGCGACGTTTTCCTGTAGGCTGATGTTGTCTTGCCCTAGCAGGATGATCTCCCGGCGCTGGGTGTTGACCGTCTGAGGAAAAGTTCGTCAGCGACGAACAACGAGGGCTAGCAAGTCAAAGACATACCTGTTGTATCTCGTACCTCTCCCCTTCCAAGCGCGCCTTGTCTTCTACGAGACCGTCTATCTTCGCCTGGAGCTCCTCGTTCTTCGCCTGAAGCGCCTTGTTCTCCTCGATCTCCTCGTCGCGTTGCGCAGTAACATCCGCCGTGCACGCCTCCTGCTCGCCGATCTTTATCGCCTGCGCCTCGATCACTACTTGCTGCTCCTTGACTTCCTCTCCCAGCTTGCCGTTCTCGCCGTGCACATGAAGGACCTCATCCTGGCTCGTCTTAAGACGAACATCAAGGGTTACGACTTCATTGCGGAGGGCTGAGATAGTGTGTTGGTTACCGGCGTTCTGGGTGCGGAGGATATCGAGGTTGCTGGAGAGCGTAGCGTAGTCGAGGGTCAGGGAAAAGATGCGGATCTGGGCTTCTTGATGGCGGATGGTAGCATCGAGAAGCGCGGTGGGCGGCGGGCATACGGCGGCGGTGTACTTGAAGTTGAGGGCTACGAGGAGTTGGAACTAGATCGTCCGTTAGTGAGGGCGTTGGATGATGGGTGAAGGAGGACTTACGAGCTTAAAGACGACAGGCTCCCAGATGGGGGCCCGGTCAACCTTCTCCGAGGGTTGCGTTTGAGGCGGCGAGTCGTTGTCGAGGAACTCAAGCTGAAGGTCGGTAGACATGCTCTGGACGTATGTTAGGCAATTGCTCGAGCAAATACTGAGCGCTCCACTTACGGTGAGCTCGGCGGTGTATGCCCATTGAGGATAAACTTCGGGGATATCCTCGTCCTCGTCCTGGTAGGCGTTACGAACCGCCGCGGCGGTAGCTTGAACGAGCCAGACCAGAAACGAGACAATGACCGCGTCGATAAGGTATGCGCCCAGTAAGGTCGAGCCGGCTGTTGAACCGGAGGCCGTGACTAGGGCATTCTCGGTCGGGGTTGACGTCGGGATTGACGACGGGATGACGGCAAGAGGAAAGCCGGTGTAGACGGTGAGGCCAGTCTCGATGACAGATGGAATTGGTTCGGCGTCATCGAAGGAGCGAGCGCGAACAGATGGCCAAGAGACCAAGAGGCCAGGGATGACGGCGAGATGCGCATTGATCTGCGAGTGTCCAGTGGGAATGATGACGCTGCCAGCCCCGCGAAGCGTAAGACGATCGTAAACCGGCGCACTCTCGGGAGAGAGCAAAGCCAAGAATTGAAGGACGATGGCGGCGCTGGCTTGAAGACGAGCAGCGATGGTTGCGGTAGCGCTTTCCCTGTAGGACGTGTAAAGCCAGAGGAGTGCGTGGTAGAGCATCTTGTGTGAAACGGATGTGGGTGCGAGGAGCGTGATTGCTGGTATTGCTGGTTGGCTGTAAGAGCGAGTGAGCGAATGTCGTAGCGGGCTGAGGAACGGCATCACTTTATGCAGAAGCGCATTCAAGACTGGCCCGGAATGTCGAGGACTGCATGTAAGACCGTCCAGGCGAGCTTCTTGCCACTGCCCATGCCCCTATCCGTCTACGTGAAATCAATGAGATATCATTGATGAGTTTTCGTTAGTCTTATGCATATACTATAACTGATCAGAACTAGTCCGCTGAGGAACACGATGAGTGCGAGCGTCATGGCATGATTGAACGCAGGCGTATACACATCGACGCCGCTTGAAGCCGTCTTGCATTTCCGAAGACTGCTATGACAATGATATGTGCGTCTATCATGCAAGTACAATCACATAGTATGTCAGCGCTAGAGGCCGCAAGCGCTGAGCAAGTAGATCGCCGTGGTCATCAACTTGCAACCGTGTCGGAGACTACGGCCGACTTCACGTGCGCAAACCGGACCAGCCGACGGGATATTTGTCATATCGGCGCGCCTTGGACACGCCTTGCCTCTTACCGTGATCTTTTCCTGCTTCAACCGAATCATATCCGAATCCCATCGATATCGTAGTTCTCGTGCATTCGGACGGAACGCGACGAGAAGTACTCCTCCTGAATATGAAACGTGATGTTCTCGCCAAACTGTCGCAGCTTGCTGTGCCGTGAGAACGATTCATCAACTTCTATCAACTGCTTCTAGGGTTGGAAGACACAGGAAAGCTGTAGCTCAACTGTAGCTTGCGGCAGTGCTCCTGTGTAATCGGCTGTAGGAACTTGCTTCTATGCCACGCAAGCTAGTGTCGGCTACTTGTTAACAGGCCCTACCAAGAAGTTGAAGCATATAAGCTAATACATCTTGAAAGGCGATTACGACAACATGTCACCCGCACCACACGTTGTCTTCTCTCATGAGCTATCCAAGGCCTTCAGACGTGGGCACCCTGTTGCCAATCCTCAGCCCGTTGAGTTACAGAGCACCAATTCGAATGGGGTGACCGAACAATTGCTACGACCTGCGGAGATCGGAGATGTGGGCTACATTCAGTAAGGATTTGTCCTTTAAGCCAGGGTTCACTGGGTCGTCTCCCAGTTCCGTATACTCACACGGCGAGCAGGCCCGAACATGGGTTCTTCATCAGCATCTTCAACGTACACAAGGAGCCCGGGACGGACGGGCAGCCTTGTATTGACGATCTCCCTGATGGATTTGAGCCTATGCCGAAGACCGCGATCTCTAAGACTACGGATACAACACCCGTTTTCCTCTCGCAGAGCGTGACGACCACCGAGCTGGACATCTCTGCATTAGGGTGCGTCATCCTTCACTGCCAAGTCATCTTCCGCCTGACATGGGGCATTGTATAGACCATTCTTCGGTGGCTCTGCCGGGTTTTCTTCCTCTACTAAATGTGGCGCTATACTGGCCACTCCAGATCCCATCACCTGCTACAACGCCATTCACATACTCCGCTACAAGGCGTACGCAAAGGATCACCTCAGAAGTTGGTACGAGTTCGCTCGTCGACGGGGTCATGATATCGCTTTAGAAGACTTGATCTTCGTCACTGGTGTCGACTACACCACATCATGGGCCACCGCAGTCTTCGTGGATGCCCAGCTTCAAGCTGGTTTTGGCCTTCAGGTGCAGTTTGCTAACGTCGGCGACGGCGTGAAGCTGGCCTGTCGATACTCTTGGTCACGTACATCCGGCGCTTTGGTTAATCATGGACCCGCCCAGTCATCACGACCTTCACCTTCCCGTGCCGACTTCACATTTGGGCATGAAGCCTCAGTACCAGTGCCATTGGCGAACCAAGACGCAGCCGATGTGACCACAGAGCACGAGCTCGGCGTGGCGCTACGGCCTATGAATACCTTGAATAATCAGACACTTTTCGTAAGGTCCATACGCGCCAAACGTCGCCTGCCTTGGCCAGGTTTGAGAATTGAAGCAAGGGGCGAGAAGGATGAAGACGACTCGGATGACAACTCGGATGATGGCGATGACACGGATATCATCGATGATGCTGCGGCCATGGGCAACAACTCGGACGATTTCGTGTTATCGAGGGACCCGAAACGAACCCAGGTGATGCAAACCTAGTCTGGAAGCATACTTCGTCATTGATTGGCGCCATCTCTCAGGTTCAAACATATCTGGACGATATACTGGATCATATTCTACTGGTGAGAATGACCACGGATACGCATGATCGTGCAATAACAGCCCTCTAGAACTCGGACTCAGATATCGCCCTCGCGCACGACGAGGATCTGGATCTCCCGGTTGGCCTCGGATCTCTTGCTCAGGTGGTACCGGTAGTTCAGGATGGTGTGGGTGAGCTCCGGGCTGTTGTGCTTGTGTTGAATCCAAACTCACCCATTCATCAGGAATGATTCTATGTGGCCATACCGACAATCCAGCTACTTCAACCGTCCTGTCGATGACGGATCGTGTACAGGACAACGGTACCCCTTACGAGCTCTTCATAAGTTTCTGTTCGCTGATGAGTGTACAGTAGCAGGTCCAGCTCCACCAACGCTAGAGGGGGAGGAGGCGCACACCGCTCCGTCATACAGTGACGTGACACATAGGCCCGAAGTGGCGGGCGGAACGACTGCCGATTCGGCTTCATCTGGACATACTGTCAACGCATTGGACGGGGTACGTGTTTCCGTAGAGCAAACGCTGGAACTCTGCCGATGAATACTCTAGCTTTCATTATCATCCTTTGAAAGAGATCGCTCGAGCGGCAACAAATCCCATGCCCGCATTCCGAGGATGGCAGAGACGGACATCCTAATCTCGCAAAACAATGCAGACCCTTTCGCCAATCGCATTGCATCGTTCATGGATCGTGGCTACATCGCAAACATGTTCGAGTCGGCTGCAAGGACGTACTGGAGTGCTGTGCTGAAGACCACCCCTGAGGGACTCCCTCTACAAATGATCTCCGGCCCATCTCCCTGCTGGTGCATCAGCCCGCATGAGCACACTGCAGGAGCACAGAATGCGGGGCGCGTCCTGGACTACATGCTTGATGCGGATCATGCCACGGGTCCAGTGGTACCGCAGCAGCTCTGGCAGCCACTGTACAAGCGTATCCGTGAAGTACTTGTGGATAACTCGCGGCTCTGCATGCCAGTCTTCTTCGTCGCTCAGGAGTCTGGGCACGTGGGATTATCCCTGTCCGATGCTCTGGCGAAGAAGCACTACCTGCTGCAGGGCCACGATCAGGCCGTGGACCTCGGCGGCAAAGTTACGACACATATACGGATACTGGCATGAACCATTTCCTCCGTCGTGAACTCAAAAACTGACCGCTTTCGTAGTGGAAAGGATATGCGGAGTACAAGCGCCAGATCCAAATCCAGGACCAGACGAACGACCGCAAGCCCATCACTCTCAGTCGTCTGGTTGAGCATGTCGCGCGGACTGTGCAACGTTTCGTTGAGAAGCCTCCCCAGGTGAGACGATTTTGATTTCATCAGTCGACGACGGCGTCTCATGCCCATCGTCACGCAGCGGAACGAAGATGATTTCGACCCACGCTGGACCGTCGGTCCGGACGGGCTCTCGAGTAACGACCTTATCCTCGTCGGGATAGTGCACTCGAGCGCTGGAACTTGGCAGCCTATCCTCCAGCTCTCACGACCTTTGCCCCACCTCGAGCAGCCGACCGCGCCAATAACCGACCCGCTTACTCTCCTTTTGGGCCCATACACGCGTCCTCGATTACCCGGGAGCTCTCTCAACGAGCTGCGTAGCGTGTCTTCTGGAGAAGACTATGACCTTTGGGCTCAAGCACGCTCCCGGGCGCAGTTCTCGACGGCGATTGTTCCAGCACCATCGCCACCTGAACATCAGCACACAAGTTCATACCCATCTTCGCCCAATCCTCAGATGACTCATACGGATGGCGCTTATTTGCCATCCTCACCTCCATACGGAGCCCATTCATCCGCATGATCTCAGTCGTCTTTACATCCTCTATATCTAGGTACTCCAAGCTACACACAGAACCACACTCACGTCTCTTGTATGTAGCATATGCCGTGATTTGAATGCTTTCTCTGATATATCTCTCAATCTTTCTCGCACAAATGCGATTCTCGGCTATCTTCAGTACATGTTATAAGGTGCATAGGCTCAATATCACGAGAACGGTAGCTATCCACGCGTCCTCAGATGCGTGAACCAGGAGCGATCGTCCATCTTTTTTGGGCTTCTCAACTAAAGGTCACCTTCGCCTAGAGCTTGACTTACCCTCACCTCACGTAAGAGAAGTACTACCTTACTCGGTCGCGTCTGGGTGGTCATTCTGGTACGTAGTTCGTGGATATACATGACTTGGCAAAGAAGAAACCTCTACTATGATGACGGGATGAGTTGTGGACTGTCTTGCCATTCATTGCGCAGTTGTCTCCCACGATTCATGCCCTTGTGTACGTATTATCCGAGCTACAGTCTCTTCTGTTGTCTACTCTGGTACTGCCTTCAAGCTCTTCAGGCCCCACACCATACTTCAAGTCGGCAAGTTTCGCGTCTTGCGAACAAGTGGCCGGCCGCCAGCAACGAGCGATGGCCCATGCCCCGAGCGCGACGAATCACAATGCCAACACGCAGCCAAGAACCACGCTGGCGATGGTAGCGGGAGAGATGTGACCCTGACGAATCGCGCACCACAACTGGGTCGGGCAAGCTAGAAGACATATCGAGAAGGCGGGTTTGAACATGGATTCTGGCTTGAATGCTGGACTCTGTCGGGTCACAATGGACCCAACCGCAGGCGAGCGAGATCTGTGGAGAGTGAGACAGGAATCCCGGTCTTATCTATAGCTGAACTCACTCGGTCTCTTCAAATCAATCAGCAACGGCCAAGGGAGGGCGTTGCGTGGCGGCGTACGGATGAGTTTAGACGCAACCTGTCGCTGCAAACGTGATTGGGCCCTGAGCGAAGGTGCGATATTGAAGAATATTGAAATGGTGATATTCGCCCTCAAGCGCGAACCATTGAGGCAATCATTCATCTTGCTTTTCACGCCATCCTCGGTTGACGATCACCTTCAAGTAGAGCTTAACTGACCTTCTTCCTGCAAGAGATGTGAGGGACCTTGCTCGGTCACGCGTAGGTCAAGCCTGCCCTTTGGCCTCTGGCTGTACATAGATCGCGAGCGAAGGTGGAGTCAGGACATCAATTATATGCGTCCGAATTTCGAACCATCGTCCCTCGCAGCGTAATTGTATCCATTGATCATCTAGAGCTCAGTGCGTGGAGTAATCGAGGAGGCGATGTCTCAACGATGGTGATGGCAGAAGGTCGGTCGGTCGCTGTCGGTCGGCGCTTCACCGCTTTGCTTCGAATTCCCACCACCAAGCCGCGATGCAGAAGGACTGGCCCCTCACGCACCTCTCCTTCAACTCACCCTCAAGTATGATCCTACAAGGCCGAGTGACCGACACAGCGCGCGCATGAACAATACTGTCATAGGCTCACCGGTTGGAGGGACAGTGTGGTGAGCAGGCCCTCGTCTGATAGCAATTCCGAGTTAGGCACTAATACTTCAGCGTGACTTTAGGTTGAGGCTGTTCAATAGGGTTTCGACCCAGAGCATGGGCGATGAGATAACACCGTTAGCCATATAACATCGCCGTAGCGACTACTGCCCTGCTACATTCCTTCTCAGGACCAACTCAGGACATGACCCCCACTCCGCATCGGGTTTACTCGCAGGAGCTATCATCTGCCTTTAGACGAGGATATCCTATCGCGAACCCGCAGGCCGCCGTATATCACAAAGCAGGGAACTCTAGCGGTGATGTTGGGGTTCGGAGAGCAGTGGAGATTGGTGACGTCGGCTACATACAGTAAGTCTGCAAGCGTTATTTGCCTGTACACCCGCATCATGCTGACCATGTATCCAGACCAGGTCATGGATACTTCATACGTCTCTTTAACGTGCACCTCGAACCAGGTGTTGATGGGCAGCCGCCGCGCGATCGACTCCCAGATGACTTCGAAGTCCTGCCCAAAGATGAGATGACGACGGTCACAGATAATACTCCTCTCTTTCTGTCGCGGACTATGACGACCAAAAGTGTACGTGCAGCTGCCTCGGGGTGCGTACTGCTCTTCAATTCTTGTGCAAGACTCTGACGCTGCTACGTTCTGCAGTCCATTCTTCGGTGGATCTGCAGTGTTCTCATCTACCAGCAGCCGCGGAGCGATTCTCGCCACACCCGATCCCATAGAGTGCACGGACGCTAGTTGCATCCCTATCTATATGAGATATGCTAGAGCTCACATGCAGAGCTGGTACGACTTCTTCTCGCAGCGATATCTCCTCGAGATGGAAGACTTGATGTTGGTCACCGGGGTTGACCGCACAACTTCGTGGGCAACCGCTGTGATTGCCGACACCGAACTCGAAGCCGGCTTTGGGCTAGATGTCCAGTTCGCCGACACTGCTTCAGGAATACAGTTGGCGTGTCAATACTCTTGGAAAAGCACATTTGGGGCGTTCGTGAACTCAGGTCCTCGCCGAGGTGGTAGTTCCAGCGGACCCGAAATTTCCACCTCCGGAGCGACGTTGTCGGACGATCCTATCGCGGACTGTCGGGGCGATATGAGCCACATAGTTGGGAAACAACAGCCTATCAACTTCCAGAACGACCAAACACTATTTGTGCGGCATATCCGCGCCAAGCGCCGTCCTCGCTGGATGGGGATGAAGCTCGCTGCAGCAGGCGGAACTCGTGAAGAGGATGAGCATGGAGACGACAGCGAATTCGAGGATGGCTTGGTTACGTCTGAGGCCGACAGGGATATGATGGACCTCGAAACCTTCCCTGAACGTGAGACGGTGATTCGCAATTAATCCGGCTCTAGTACCAAACAATTTGCTGACATCGTTGTAGTTCACCGATTGCCTCGATCCTGTGCTAGATTACATTTTTGAGGTGATGGTTCACGACGCTCGCTACAAACCTGTACGCTCATGTGACATTCTCAGCATTCGGACTCCGATATCGCTATTGCTCATGACGACGATCTCACAGTGCTTCTAGACAATGATTCGTCTTTTGGACTTGGTGTTGAAGTGGAAGATGGCATCGGCGAGTCTCGAACCATGGCGATTCCGTCTTGGCGATTGACATGACACACGTCTCTTCTAGGAGCGATATCAAGTGGCCCTTCGGCATCCCGGTCGGGTACACTCATCGGCTCGCAATCCTTCCCATCTCGAGGGAAGCACACGGACTTGCCCGAATCAAGGGACTCTTTGGGCGCAGATGTTGCGGCCTTGAACAGGGCTGTATCTAGCGAAAGCCATGCACTGAAACCCTCTCACGACAGGACAGATCTCTCTACGGCTCCCATGCCACTGAGCGCGATACGCGAGCTCTTCGACCGTCCTCCTAAAGCCGGAGGCCGCCCCCTTCCGCAACCTCCAGATTCGCTACAACGTCCTTCCCTTATTGCATCGCTCAATCTATCACAACCCACCCTACCATCATCATTGTCGACGGTCAACGAGCAATCTCTCCCTCACTTCATGGACGAGCCGGGCCGCTCTACAGTCTCAGACACCCCTCGGATTGTGCTTTGGCATGGTATCCCTCTTCTGCTCACACCGAGCACATTGCCCTACCCTCGGCATCTGCCCTCGCCTTCAAATGCGAGGTCGCGTAGCCATCTCTCTCCCGGACCGCGGCGGAGATTACGCGAAGCCAACGTCGGTGGAACGAGACCGCGCCCGAGTGGGGCGCGTTTCAGAGCGACCACCTAGGAATAGCCAGTCCTGAACCTAGAAAACGGATGTCCAGAAGTCGCGACTTTGCATCTGTACTCCCCTGCATCTCCCGCGGGATCCAATGATAATGATATACTAGTACATGGTGCTACAATTTCCCCACGTCACGGTCCACTCATTTTAAGCTCTTATTGACTTTGCCGCTTCACGTATCGAGATTCTCGGGTTCTTATCGCGATAGAATGTGAACAACTGGGAGTGCCAGAAAAGCATCAAGTTGTTGCTGCCCACGTACGAGCTGGAGAGTGACAATAACTTTCACGGTGGGAAGGACAGAAGCAGAACCTGGGCGTGGCAATACAGTGCGTGGCAAATGCTTGGTAATCAGTATGAAATCGAAGACCGAAGCGCGAGCAGGGCACGTAACCCTACCTCGCCCACTCACTATGGCCACGACGTACGGAAACGATAGTGCCTCCGCCCATCCGCCTTCACCGACGATCCTTCGCGGAGACATACTCTGTGAGATATTCTACGCGTGCGCGATCGCAGACGCGCCCAAGCGTGGCGACCTTGGTTGGATCCGACTGTCATTCGTGTCCAGGCTCTGGCGCGCGACGATTCTTGATCTACCGGTACTATGGGCGCGCGTCATCTGCGTGTATCCAAAGGCATTCAATACCATGTTGTCACGCGCCCGCGATGCGCCCCTTACTCTTGATCTTGCCGAGCTCAGACGCGCTACGGGTGATACTGCTAGTCCTGTAAGCGTGGAGGGTTTGATGTCCTTCGTGGAAGGCATTCTATCCCAAGCACGTACAGTGATGGATGCGGTTCAAGACCGCGCCGACGCACCCAACTGGCCAGAGCTTCTGCATAGCCGTGCATTGCCGACCCTCCGTCTCCTCAATTTATCTTTCGGAGAAGTGGTAGCTCCGGATTCCCAATGGAATGCAGCCACGGCGCTGGAAGCACCCAACCTGCGCACACTAGGACTGATGAACTTCATTTTCCCTATACGCGCTGCAAGCTTGCAGTCTCTGACGCTCATGCGCCACGATCCCGTCGGTCCGGGAAGCATCGCGTCTTCCATCCAATCGCTTACCGATTACCTCCGAGGTTTCCCATCGCTGCAGAGTTTCGTGCTGCTTGACCTCTTTGAGGACGATCAATGGTCCAGACCTCTCGAGGATGGTGATCTGGATGAGCTGGCGAATGGCTCGCGACTCGCACTCCGCTTGCCACAGCTCCGCCAGCTTTCCCTCAGGTCCCTCTCCTGCTACGTCGCACTTCTTTGGGGCACGATACAGGCTCCTCGTGCATTTGTGCATCTTGACATCAACTCCCCCAGCCACATCGAGATGCTCCTAGACCGCGTTCAACATTTTTTCGATGCTGAGAAGAATGGAGTGCTCACCATCACTCCCGACCGGGATCCCTGGACCATCCAGTATGGTTGGTCGGAGCCCCCTACGACGTCGGCGCAAACCTTTCGGCTTTTCAATTTCATGCAGCCCCAACTTGATGTATCCAGATTCTGTAGCGTTACCTATGGCGATCCCCAGGGCGGTGACAATAGCGAAACATCCCTTCTGGAAGTAACAACGAAGTTCACCGTTGCGATATGCAGATCCGTCTCCCCCATACACACTCTATATGTCGTCGAGGGAGAAAGCGCACAATACGATCAAGGGCATAGACCGGCATCACTTCCATGCATGACGTTGTGTGCTCTCTTATCCGATCCAAACATACCCTACGTGCCCAATGTCGAGTTGCAGGCCGCTCGCCTCGACGAGGACGAGGTGCACAGACTCAGAGCCAGTATCGCCGCTTGCGTGGAGAGGTGGGGAAGGCGACTTCAGCGTCTGATCGTGCGCGGTTTCCCTCTGAGCTGGGTCCTGGACCAGGAACTCAGAACGCGGGAATGCCAGCTCTTTGAGGAGTTCGCTGAAAAAGTCCACTTCACGCTGCTCGGCGTGTCAGATTACGAGCGATCTCGCAGAGTCAACGTGAGCGAGTTCTACACGTCCCACAGCGTTGATATTTGACTGACACGTACATCTGGCCAGCTGGTCCCAGGCCGTATCAAATTTGCGTGAGAACTGCGTCGCGCCTAGGATCACCTCGGGTTCGTCTCAAGTCGGGAATGTTGTCCCTTGCCCTGCCCGGCATACTATTGCTAGACTAGGTCACCTCAAAAGCTTCGTGCATCACAGAACATACATGTAGTTCGATCCGCACAGAATATCATGCGCACATGTACAGTAAAGTGCAAGATCGTCATCTATGATTCACAACAATTCTTGAGTCCTCTCTTCTTGTCAGGGCTCTGAGTGAGGACGTGATAATCACGAGCATACCATGAACGATGGATGATGGTGAGCGGTGAGCGGCTGGTGAGCCCGGGTGAAGCACGCGCGTTTGCGCGGTCGACTCGCGTCCCAGCGCGTCCCACCTCGGGGACCGCTCCCACGACCGAACCCCAGCCCCTACATAGCTCGCGGCGTTGGAGCTCCCTACCGCAAACATTAAGAGCCTTGCGCGGTCTCGTATTAGATCAGAGATACTGATCTTCAGAACAGGTTTGTGCTGCGAGCTCGATGCCGAACAATCTCAAAGGCGTTATCTCAGCAACCCGGCCGCTTCGTCGATCACACTGTACATATTATAATGGTCTTAGACTTACATCTACTCCTCTTTACAGCGGGCCCTCTGCTATATCGACTAAACCGCTGGTTGACAGCCGGTACACGATCCACATTGACGCATCCTAACAGCGACTTGCGCTCCGAGAATCGAGTTATGCGCGATATGGTGCTCTCGCGACAACACGCACACTGAATGGGCACACCAGCCCGCACAAAACATATCATTCGCGACTCGCACACAACGCAACAACGATAAGTATCACGAAAACACGATCCACTACCAGTGCCATCATTACCACCTCCCTCCACATCCTCAAGCGCGATCAGAATCACAAGCAACGCACTTCCCCGCCCCCGCCTTATTCGGAACCATACAAACGCCACACGTCCACCCGCCCACGTCCTTCGCGGGCGCTTTCATGCCCGCGGCGGCCCAGTTGAAGCCTCCACCACTCGTAGAGGAGGTGGAAGAGGTGGACTTGGGTGCCGGCTCCTCACAAGAGACGCACTTCGCCGCGTCGGACTTGTTGGGCACCATACACGTCCCGCACGTCCACCCCCCAACATCCTTCGCGGGAGCTTTCATGCCCGCGGCGGCCCAGTTGAATCCTCCTCCCCCAGCACTCGCACCATTCGTGCCAGCCGCGGAAGAAGAGGAGGCGGACTTGGGCGCAGGCTCCTCGCAAGAAACGCACTTCCCCGCGCCAGCTTTGTTAGGCACCATACACGTCCCGCACGTCCACCCCCCAACATCTTTCGCGGGCGCTTTTATCCCCGCCGCAGCCCAGTTGAACCCCCCACCTCCACCTCCACCGCTTGAGGAAGTTGAGGAGAGCTTGCTCGGCCCAGCACCCGGCGAACTCGCCGGTAAACTGGCGTTAAAGCTGAACAACGGCAGCGTCTCCTTCCCAACCCTCCTCGCCGCCTCCTTCGCCTTCTCATCCTTCGCCAGCTCAGGGCGGTCGACATCCATAGATCCGCTCGTGGAGGGAGTGATAGGACCGGGCGCGGATACGACGTGGAACGTGAACGCCGGGAGGTACGTATCCGGAACGGCCATAGCCAGCGCGGCCGCTTTCGGGTCTTTCTGCTTTGCGGCGGCTGCATGGCCTGAAGATGGGGTGGAAGTGGAAGTGGTCGAAGAAGCGGCGGCGGCGGCAGACGCCACAGTGCTCGCGAATAACTTCGCGTCGAACAACGGCGGGGGCGGCGCAGCAGTCAACTTCTCCTTCTCCTTTTCCTTCTCCTCGGCCTCCCTCTCCTCATCCGCAACAGTTGCAAACCTAAGCTTACTCGGCGCCCTCGGCGCGAAGGCCGGCGGCTTGCCCTTGCCCGCTCCGCTCTCCTTCTTGCCCGTCGCATCCTCAGGCTCGATCACCTCCGTCGGCTTCGCCACCAGACCCGGCGCAGACGAAAGCGACGGGGGAGCAGAGACTTCTTCCACGACGATGTGGTCTTGAGATGTAGGCGCGAAGAACGTCGACGTCGACGTCGGTTTCGAAGAGGGCAGACCGTTGCCTAGTCCGCCGAAGCCGCCGGACTTGGGCGGTCCGGAAGGTGCAGTGCCGAATGAAGTCGCAGCGGTAGCGCCCGTAGCGGCACCGAAGGGACTCGGCGAAGCGCCGAAAGCCGAACTCGACGTCGTCTTCGCCTTCTTCGGCGGACTCATCTCCACAATCTCGTCCTCCTCCTCCTCATCCATAACCTCCTCCACAACCGGCTTCCCATTCGGCTTGGGCTTCTCCTTGTCCTCGAACAGCGAGCGGTACGTCTGTTTGGCCGCCGGGACGGAAGGTTCGGGTGACTTCAACCGGGCGCTACGGCGCGGTTCGTTGATGGATGAAGGCTTGGGTGCGGCGGCGAGATCGGGCGGCGGACGCGCGCGTTTGGAGCCTTTGGGCGCCGTCGCTTCGATAATCCTGTCCAGCCCGATCTCCTCTTCCTTCGTGCCTTTCTCCCCACCCTTCCCATCATCATCCTTCTTCTCTCCCTCCTCCGCAGATTTCGCCTTGGAAATATCCTCAACCTTCCTCTTCCTCGCCGGCCTCTTCGTCTGCACCCGCGCCGGCAGCGCCGCCTGATACGGGTTCGCGACTTCCGGGCGCGGCGGCGGCGGCGGCGCCGTCTCTGCGATTAAAGCCGAGAGCGTGGCGGCGGCTTTCGTCGGTGTACTTCTCGGCTTCTCCTTGTCGTCGCCGCTGAGAGATCGGGCGGGCGACATCGACATCGACATCGGCGATCGGTTGCCATTGCCATTGACAGAGGACGAAGCGCGCGTCGGCTTGTTCGGCGTCATCAACCCGTTGCTCATGCCCAATCCGGATATCCCATTCCCATTCCCGTTCGTGATCGTTGCAGGCTTCTTCGCAGACGTCGGCGACCCAGGCGAACTATCCGGACTCGCGTGCCATCCGTTCCTCAGCGGACTCGGCACAGCCGGCGCGCCCATCCCGGCGCGCACGACGGCCACCGCGTGACGCGGGCGGGGCGTCGCGGGCATCTGCGGCTCGTCCTCCTTCGCCTTTTCCTTCTCCTTCGCGGGGCTGGCGGACTTTGCCGGGGACGCAGGACCGGCGTTCGCGCTGCGCTCCTCCAGCTTGCGCCTCTTCGCATCGCCCTTCTGCACCGGCGGCGGACTGAGCGCAATACCCGCCCCTTGCGCCCTACTTCTCGCGGGACTCCCGAATGCAGGACTCACATACCGCGTCCTGGGCCTCGCAGCGCCGTTCTGCTTCGCCGAGCCCGCGCCCGTGAACTTGTAGATGGGCGCGTTGGGGTCGCGCGGGATCGTCCGTTTCGGCTTTTGTTCCTGTTGGGATTGGGTTTGGGTTTGGGAGATGGAGGAAAAGTCGAAGGGGTTGGCGGGTGCGGGGGAGGGCGGGGTGGCGAATGAGAATGGGAGGGGAGCCGCGGCGCGCAGGGCGGAGGGAGAGGGCGCGGGTGAGAGTGCGAGTTTGCGCGGTGGTTGTGGTTGGTCGTCTATAGAATCATACATCAATATACACAAGTAGTAACCGTCAGATGAAAGATACATACGAGTAGGTGATCGCAAAAGCGAGACAAGCGTATGTATCTCCTGTTCAGCCAACGAGCGTCCCTTGCTCTCGGCCAAATACCGCGCGACGACTTCCGCATTATTACTCTGGGCGCCCGGAGAAGCCGCCTCTGAGAGCGCGTCAATGTCGATCGGCCGCGAAGGCGTCTCGCCGGCCATCTACACATCATTCTGTTGGCACCCGTCCCTTAAACCGAATAAGGATGAACATACCTCGCGCCCGCGCATGCTGAGCGCCGCAGCCGGCGGCGGAGGCGTATACGGCCTCTCGTCCTCCTCATACTCTTCCTCCTCCCCTCGCTGCTGAGCCTCATAATCGTCCTCATCCGTCTCATTACTCTGCGCCCGCTTAAACGGGTTCAAAGCGCTCAGAATCCCACCGATGGACCAGCCCTACATTGCATCCTACGTCAGAGCCTGCCGTGGTAAAGCCAAGGGAACAATAGCAAGTGACTTACAGACGACTTTGGCTGGGCGGTGGCGGCTTTCTTCGCGTAGGGCGAGGCGAGCGCAGTAGCGCGCAGCCGGCGCGAGTGATTCCGCACTGGACCGCTCATCTTGCGAGTGAAGGGTTGGTGGTTGACACAGAACAAGGTGCAAGCGAGGCGGCACGCTACAGCGTGTTTCTCACTCCTCCCATCACCCATCAACCCCATCACCCGCATGCAGCAAGTAACTTCCACGGCCTCTCCCGCCCAACACACGCCCTCCAATCCGCGACTTGCCTCCTCTTGCCTCCCTCAACCTACACACGAGCTGTGCACGATGGCCGAGACGATCGTGCAGAAGGACCGGGCGAACCCGTACCCGCTTATCGACAGCGACCCCCACTTTTTCCGCGTCGTGCGGTACATGCGTCCGTCGGACTATGCCGTGTGGGGCGCGACCGCCGCTGCAGCGCCCGGCGCGCTCTACCTCTGGAGTACGCTTTCTTAGTTTTGAGCATTCCTATGTATTTTACTTATATTATATGATTACAGACATCGTCGACCGCGTGACCCTCCCCTCGCACTACTTCAAGCAGCACTACCGCCTCGGCGGCGTCCTCGGCCTCGCGGGCGGCTTCCTGCTCGCGTACCAGCGCTCCTCGTTCCGCTTCTGGGGGTGGAGCGAGAACAGCCGCGAAGTGGACTACGATTTGAAGGAGCTGAGCGCGAGGGTGGCGAAGGGGCAGAGCCCGTATGGCGAGAGCGGCAACCCGGAGTGGGTGCAGGCGGCCGCGCATAGGAATTCGGTGAATAGCCAGATGAAATTGCGTGCGTGTTGGTTTCTTTTGGACTGGGTGCACTGCGTGTCTTGGAGGGTTATATGGTTTTGAAGGGTGATTTGCTGACTCGTGTTTTGTAGAGACCGTCCCTATGTTCAACCTCGTCAACCACCCACACCACGGCGTCGACGTGGCCAAGTACGGCGCGAAGAAGGAGGACGACCAGTAGACTTACTCGCACTTTGCAATTCCATCTCTTGCTCTAATCTTGTCTTCGGTACTTCTCGTCCGCTAAACATCTACGCCGTGGGTAAGAAGTGAGGAGGCACAAAGCGACTCGATGCACGCCGGCTCGGTATCCGCTCCGTAGCCTGCTATCGTGAAGAACCTACAGAACTCGTGCTCACTGCATCTAACCGCGTTTACTTACAGCTCCTTAAGTACAACATGGGTGAAACGCACAGTCATCCCAATAGGGATGACACGGCGCTCCCAAGCGGGGCCGATGTTTCCGCCGTATCTCTATTGTCGAAGCAAGGCGACGTACCCTTCACGGCGTCGCTTGACCTTCAAACTTGCACGGACTCTGTAATTGGGCGCTCTGTACTGATAACGTCTCGCGGTGTCACCAGGGCCGTTGTACGGCCCTCTACAGCTTCTCCCGCACCTACATGCATATAATCCGCTCAACGCCGTTTATGCTGAAGTGGCAAGCTACAAGGGGCCTTATAACTTGACTCGTCTATACAGGATTGCCCGATCCCGACGCTTCGCAAGCCATGGATATCCGTACGTACCATAATCCTTCCCTTGTGTGAAACCCCCGACTGATCCGTCCTTTCGCTAGTGAACGCCATCGCCCAATGCAAGAGCGCCGGTAATAACGTCACATCCTGCTACCCCACGAACCAGACAGTCATCGTCCAGAACTCGACCTCCCAGTGGCAAAGCACAGATACCATATACTTCGTCTGTACGTCCCTATCCATTCCCCACATTCCGAACTTCTCGCTCACCAGTACGTCGACAGGGAACTCCCGTCTCCCCCTCTTCACCCAAACCAACACGCTCCAGGTCTCTCTCTACCGCGGCGACTTCAACGGCGACCAGCTGATCCGCAGCTGGCCCAACACCGCGAACCCCACGCACGGCGATGCGGGGCTCTTGACCGTTCTCGTAGACGACGTCTTGAGGTCGCTCAACGACTCGTGGACGCCCGGGACGAACATCAGTACGCCGATGTATTTCACTATCGCTCCTTCTGCGTCGGGAGGGGGTGGGGATGTGGGGCGGCAGGCGACGTTTGAGCTTGTTCGTATGTGATTCTCCGCTGCGTCTGGTCCTTTGCTCTTGCTAATGTTGTCGCCACGCACGCGTAGAAACTGGGTGAACCCTCGCCCCGCAGCTATATCCCTGCAACCTCTCGATACTAACATCATACTCCCAATAGACCTATACCCCCTTCCACGATCCCCACCGCAGTCCATTCATCAACGCCCACCCCCACATCATCGAGTTACGCAATAGTCACAGTCACCGGTCTCCCCTCAGACTCAAGCTCCAGCTCGTCCGACGGCGATGCGTCGACCACACATGCCGCCCCTGGCGCGATTGCTGGCATAGTTGTAGGCGGCATAGCGGTCCTGGTTCTCGTCGTGGTCGTCACGTGGATGCTCGTGCGGCGCTATAGTGCGCTGGCTCGTGCGCGGGGGGATGAGGTGGACCTGAAGGAGGAGGAGGAGACTGGGTCTGTCATCTCTTGGGGGGATGAGAAGGAGGTGCAGGGCACGCAGTAACGGCAGTGGCGAGAAAGCTATTACTGTATATATGTTCGCAGAACGAGTTTCGGCTTCTGCTTCTCTTCGGACAATGTACGACACGCCTATGGACCTCGAGTGGTAGACATCAGTTATCCTTGCGTCTGAGAAGCCTTTGCCATGAAGCAAAGGAATGGAAACGATGGGAGAATGCCCATTGAACATCGGGCAACAAGCAGCGTCAAGACTCAAGATAGCGCGCGCTTAGGCTGCTTTACAGCCTAGGGTTAGGGTGATCGGCCCGGTCACCCGACTTGCTCTAGTTGCGCCGTTCGCCGGCGCGCTCAGGCTCAACAAGAACGGCCATCATCTTTGGGCAAGCCATGGCAAGTGGTGCCACGACCTGCCATGAATATGAGTCTCCGTGTAGCTCAAGGGCTCCAATATCATCACCTACCTCAATCTTTCACGACCTGCAGCGCTCTCTAATCCTGGTTTCTGCACTACATAATACCGCGGCCGCTCTGACCTGACGACTCGATACGGCGCCTCGCACCATCCTCGGAGTCATCCACCCGTATATAATCGCTCGTCGTCTTCCATCTTGCAGACGTCGTCGACCGCGTCACCCTCCCCTCGCACTACTTCAAGCAGCACGATCTGAAGGAGCTCAGCGCCAAGGTGGGAAGTGAGAGCGCCCGTTTGGGGAGAGCGGGAACCCAGAGTGGGTGCAGGCGGCCGCGCATAGGAACTCGGTGAATAACCAGATGAAATTGTGTGCGTGTAAGATCTCTCTTCCACTCGAGCGTGGCGCTTGCTTGTGCTGCGATGAGTGTGCTGTGTTATAAGATTGAGTGCTGATTTGTGTCCTGTAGAAACCGATCCATGTTCAACCTCGTCAACCACTCGCATCATGGCGTCGACGTGGCCAAGTACGGCGCGAAGAAGGAGGACGACCAGTAGACGTATCCTTATCTCTGCAATTCCATCCGCTTTTCTGACTTTACACTCGTTGCCCCGATGTGCGACCGACGTGCATCCCCGGTATGGAGTGAACCATACTCTGTCTGCCGAGTTCACGGTATGGTATGCAGAGATCTCGCATGCGGTGTCGTGCTATATCCCGCTTCCGACACTACCACCGGTGTGGCACATCGTCCCCCATTCTCGCAGACTCACATAGAGAGCTGAAGATATACCCCAAGCACGCGCACTGACTCGTAGTTGGCTCTTCGACGTCCACGGGGGACGCTCATTCCGGCCGTGTGAAAAGCACGAGAGCTACAAATACGAAACGTCGACCTCGGCACTTTGAGTCCAAGCTCATCCTGAATGGCTGACATGAACCTCGCGATCGCGCTTGGGGGCGAAAGTGACGCTCGATTTAATTCTCAGACCGCTGCCGCAAGACGTTGAGCGGGGGGGTTTCTCTGCGACCGCGATACCCGCCTCCTTACGCTAAGATAGCGGACTGGTTGCGAGGCTACGTTCGACCATCACGTCGTGATGAGTGACTTCAGGCCATCCTCCGGACATCTTCAAACCGGTCGACCTATGCAGATGGTGTATCCACGAGATGAATACCATCCTTCAAGGATTCCATCCGCGCAGTCCGGCATCCGCGGAATCGGGTAAACCATTCCGTTTTCATCAGTATGATGCCACATATGAGCCTTCTTCTTCAAGTAGGGCTGATACGTCCGCTACACTTTGTATTGGCCGTTAATGTCTTCACGGCGTGCTTAGGCCTTCACTGGTATCGCCTCGCGGCTCTCGCTAGACCCTTGTACCGCTATCTACAACTTCTTCCGCTCTTGCAATGCATAAGTACGGCCTGCCAGTCGACGCTGGAAGATAGGCAGTCGTGCTCTATTCTCTATACTCAGCTTACTATACGACGAAGCCACGCCCGAACCCGCAAAATGTGGATTTATGTACGTTCATGTCTCTAAAGCTGTGAAAGCGTCCACTGACGGGTGGGTTACCTATCCTCTTCACAGTGAACGCCATCTCGCAATGCACGGCCACCGACAATAGCATCACAACCTGCTATCCCACAAACGAGACTGTCGTCGTACAGGACTCGGCCGTACAACGGCAAGATACACAAAGCATATATCTCGTCTGTACGTCGTCTTCGCTCCACGCCCTCATGGCACGTCGCTCATGCATACACTTCCAGGGAATCCCCGCGTTCCGCTGCTCACGCTTGCCGACGAACTCGAAGTTTCTCTCTATCGCGACGACTCTAGCAGCGAGCAACCGGTGTACAGTTGGACCTTGAACGCCGCCAACCCCACGCGTGGGGACGCGGGCGTGTTCACTGTCCCCGTAGACGATGTTCTAACCCGGCTCAACAACTCGTGGACGGGCACGAACATCATTACGCCGATGTACTTCACTGTTGCGTCCTCAACGTCAGGAGGCGGGAAGAACGCGATACGCCAGGCAACGTTCCAGCTCGTTCGTACGTCCTTGCCTCGGCTTGTACCCTGTACACTGGCTAATGTTGTGCGCAGAAACCGGGTAAGCATTCGCGCCGCACGTACGCTCTAACTTCGTCATGCTGAAAGTGATACTCTCAATAGACCTATACCCCTCCCCAACGTCCCCGCCGTAGCGCATTCGTCTGCGCTCGCCTCCGAATCGCAAATGGCGCCGAACCCAGTCAAAGCCATAGCCACCGGCCCCAATCTCCCTTCACCCTCCAGCTCGACGGACGGCACAGTGGGCCATACGCGTGCTTCTCCCGGTACGATAGCCGGAGTAGTCGTGGGCGTTGCAGCAGCTCTAGTCATCGTCGTTCTTGCGACGTGGCTGCTCGCCCGACGCAATAGTTCGCAAGCTCGTTCTCGAGGGTCTAAGGTGTTTCTTAGGCTGAAGAGGGACGAGGAGACTGGGTCGGCTGGTAGCTGTGGGGATGAGGAGGTAGCTGTACAAGGAACGCAGTGATGGCAAGGAGACGGCTGCGTGTTCGTAGGACGATTCTTTACTTTTCTTTGGACGATATTATTATGCCTATGAACACCAAGTAGGAGATGTTAGGTACCCATCCATATGATATACCTTTACTCTCAGGCAAAGGAAACGAAGTGATGGGAGGGCGGTCCAAGGTAAGGCTCGGTGATTAATGCCCCGGCTACTTTTAACACCGTTAATTAACGGTAGGGTTAGGGTTAGGTTAATTAAC